GTGTGTGTGTGTGTGTGTGTGTGTGTGTGTGAATGTGTGTGGATATATGGGTATATGTGCTGTGGTTTGATGTGTCTGATGTATCGGTGGATAACGGTGTACGAGTTTGGATGTCGGTGTGTGTCGGTGTGTATTTGTCTTAGTATTTGTGTGTTTGTGCCCTGATATGTCAATTTTAACAGCATCTCATTAAAATGTTTTAACTGTCCGGTTATTTCAATCGTCGATTCGTCATATTATTTTTCTCAATACAGCGTTAATTCCTTCTGTATTTTTTCTTTTTCTTCTTCTTCTTATTGTTGTTGTTGTTGTTGTTATTTTCGTTGTTGTCTTCGTTGTTCTACCACGACTTATCGTCAAATTATGATTTTTCTGCTTACTTGTTGAATACTGTTAAAGGTAAAATGAAGAAAGGAAGAGATAGAAAAAAAAGGTGTTAATAGTCTGAAAAAACAATTTTGCTTTATATTAATACCTTTATGCTTTTTCTTCAAACTGGTTTTTAAAAAAAAATATTTTATTGTTCTTCGTTTATTATCTTGCGTTTTTTTTTTGGTTTTTTTTGTGTATTTGGCTATATTGAACTGATAAAGCCGGTAAAAAATCTGACAGTAACTATTAACTGATATATTTGAAGTCAGTCTTCCCAACTTTCATTGATCACTGTCATTTTTAATCTGCTTAGTAAGAATAGGTAACAAAAAGAGAAAGTAATAATGTCATATAAATTTTAATTGTTTTTACTTTTTTCTTTTTTTTTCTTATGTTTTATGTTGTACTTTATTTTATTTTTTCTACAGAATACTATCACATTAATTGAATTTTTGATGTTGGTGTTTTTTTTTCTTTTTGAAAGTATATTTTGTTTAATTGTTTAGTTGCCTGTATTTGTTTATAGAGGAAGAATGCAGGTGGAAATGGATCCTCAGCTGAAGACAACTAAGGAAAAAAATTCACTAACAAAAGGGCTTAAAGAAAAAAAGGGTATTTTACGCAGTCTTTCATTTCAGGTAATACATTTGAAAGTTTAAATTTTAAATTTTTTCTTTCTTACGGAAACTTACTGTATATCATTGAAACTATAAATATTTTTGTTCTGTTCTTTTCAATAATCTTTGAATTATTATTCAACTGCAATAGCAATAAAATAAATATTTTAGTTCAGTAATTCATTGAAAAAAACTTCAAGAAAAGTTACTGATAAAACAGCAAAAGGGTCACCACCTGCAATAACGAAAACTGCTATGCCAGTTGAACAAATTCCTGGTGTACAAAAATATGGTATTTTATTGAAACAAAATAAGAGGAGAAATAGATCTGCTAGATGGAATAAACGGTTAGCTTCTCTTTTGCTGTCCTAAGTTTATGTTGCTATTAATATCA